TCTAACTGTGCTAATTGAAGTCTATACTGAAACATATGACATCTTACTGTGATCAGGGTTGGCACCAGGTTATAAATAAAAGGGTCCCTTTATTACCCTGGACAATATACCAGGTATTACTCTCTAAGGTTTTATAGGATTTTCATGTTGGATATAAATATTTCTGGAATCTTGTGAATTTCTATAATTATACTCTTACAGGATTTGACTTAAACATGAACTCTAATTACAGAGGAGTGGCCACAAATAAAGCCTGATGCATTGTTTTACTGTAGTGCACTCGCCATTCCTGTTCACCGACCTACCCACCACTTGTAACCAGGATATGATACACAGACCTATACAAATAGCCATGTTTATCTAATGTAACTGTGTACACTTCAAAAGCAATACGGAAGTGATGTCTAGATTATCTTCTGTAGTGGCTTAATTGTAATTTTCAGATCTTTAGATTTTATGCAACAAATCAATTATGTGATTATGGACAAAACTTTAAATAAAACCACACAAAGGATGAGTGTCTATAAGGCCCATTTTTGGGCCCCGATATATTCAGATTTTCACCTCCTTGATTTGTTCAAAGATGTCCTATTGTATTACATGCGGAAAAACTAATGTTAAAGTTTGACCGAAAGTGGTTCTTTGGGGGTACCAAAAGGGGTAGGGTAAATCCCAAATGTAATTTGCTGTTTTCACAATGTGCTTAAAAACCAAAATAATTCAAATTTCTGTTTTCGGAAACATGCGTAAATTAAACAGGCATATATAAATGAATGAACAATGACAGAAATTCAATCGTCACTAAAAGGATATAAAAAATGGTGGATTAATTTGGTTTTGTTAAACCTAATATTAACAGGTAAGGTCATTTAAGGACGTGCTCCATGTGTGTAGTGTAAGCGTGCTTCATGTGTGTAGTGTAAGCGTGCTTCATGTGTGTATGCAGAAGACAGGGTATGTTGGTGTGTTTGCCTCCTTGTGATAGCGCGGATCTGATGTTTCGGTACTGACCTTATAGTGCTACTGAAAAACCATGCCCAAGGCACCAAGCACAGCATTCCGCCCAGTCACATTATACTGACAACAGGTGAACCAGTTGTTACTATTCCCCTTAATGCTGAACGTTAAGCAGGGAATAACAACTCCCATTTTTAAGGACTTCAAATGGTATGTCCCGGCCTGGGGACAGAACCCATTGCCTTCCTCACCAGGGCAAACGGTCAGCATTCAAGCCAAAAGTGAGATGTTGCCAAGCAAGGCGCTAGGAAACAAAAGGTAGGTAGAAGTAGAAATAAAGATAAGATCCCAAATATTGCAATGGGTGCAGCAGATATATTTTGGTCGATTTTGTGTCCCCAAATAGAGGACACCAAAGCAAATCCCCAATTCTGCAGGGGTTCCCACATTAGCCGCCTCCTAATTTCAAACTTCATATATTAATCATTTTACAGTAGTTGTAGTGGCAAATGCCATTTTTTATTTGAAAGTTAACTTTGAAAAGTAAGAAAACAAATCAGGACCTCAAACTCACTTCAGCCACAGGTGTTGAGCAAATATTATACGATATATATAATATACAATATTAACTATTAATATCTTATACTTATAGCATATTAATGGTGTCCTGCACCTTTAAATTCACTTAAGATTGAGAGATATTTGAAATAGCCGAGTTTGAGATGTGTCCAGAAGCTATAACTTAGTATAAAACAAAAGGAAAGTGAGCAGTGAATATGCACTTTATGTAAGTGTATTTAAATGAGTAAAGTTGTAAATTTCAACTCAAAATATAGATTAGAAAGGAAATTATTGAGAAAACAAAACACTTTTCATTTTGAGGTTCAACAAAATTAAACCAAACCAAAACAAATTATCCTCAATTTTATATAAAAAATCTTTAAGTGACGATTGAATTTCTGTCATTTTTCATTCTTTTATATATGCTTGTTTAATTTACACATGTTTCCAAAAACAGAGATGGTATTATTTTGGTTTTTAAGCTCAATTTGAAAACAGCAAATTATATTTGTAATTTACCCTACCCCTTTTGGTGCCCCCAAAAACCCACTTTCTGTCAAATTTTCTCCATAGTTTTTGCACATGTGATACAATAGGACATCTTTAAACAAATTAAGGAGGTGAAAATCTGGATATACCGGGGCCCAAAAAAGAGCCTTATAGACACTCATCTGGCTAACTGTGCTGAGGGGATGATTCCATCAATACCACCACCAGAGGGAGGGGATGATTACCCCCATACCACCACCAGAGGGAGGAGATGATTACCCCCATACCACCATCAGAGGAAGGGGATGATTACACCCATAGCACCATAAGAAGAAGGGGAGGATTACACCCATACCACCATAAGAAGAAGGGGATGATTCCACCCATACCACCGTCAGAGGGAGGGGATGATTACCCCCATACCCCCCTCCGAGGGAGGGGATGATTCCACTGATTCCACCACCAGAGGGAGGAGATGATTACCCCCATACCACCACCAGAGGGAGGGGGTGATTACACCCATACCACAGTCAGAGGAAGGGGATGATTACACCCATACCACCATAAGAAGAAGGGGATGATTACACCCATACCACCACCAGAGGGAGGGGATGATTACACCCATACCACCATCAGAGGGAGGGGATGATTCCAGACTATTTCTATCACCAGAGGGAGGGGATGATTCCACCCATACCACCATCAGAGGGAGGGGATGATTACACCCATACCACCATAAGAAGAAGGGGAGGATTACACCCATACCACCACCAGAGGGAGGAGATGATTACACCCATACCACCATCAGAGGAAGGGGATGATTCCACCGATTCCACCACCAGCGGGAGGGGGTGATTCCACCCATACCACCATCAGAGGATGGAGATGATTCCACCGCAACCACCGTCAGAGGGAGGGGATGATTCCAGACTATTTCTATTACCATAGGGAGGGGATGATTCCACCCATACCACCATCAGAGGAAGGGGATGATTCCACCGATTCCACCACCAGAGGGAGGAGATGATTACACCCATCCCACCATCAGAGGGAGGGGATGATTACACCCATCCCACCATCAGAGGGAGGGGATGATTCCAGCCTATTTCTATCACCAGAGGGAGGGGATGATTACACACATACCACCATCAGAGGGAGGGGATGATTATACCCATACCACCATCAGAGGGAGGGGATGAATCCACCGATTCCACCACCAGAGGGAGGGGATGATTCCATCCATACCACCATCAGAGGGAGGGGATGATTCCACCGATTCCACCACCAGAGGGAGGGGATGATTCCATCCATACCACCATCAGAGGGAGGGGATGATTCCAGACTATTTCTATTACCATAGGGAGGGGATGATTCCACCCATACCACCATCAGAGGAAGGGGATGATTACACCCATACCACCATAAGAAGAAGGGGATGATTACACCCATACCACCACCCGAGGGAGGGGATGATTACACCCATACCACCATCTGAGGGAGGTGATGATCCCACACATGCCACCACAAGAGGTAGGGAATGATTCTAGACCCCTTCTAACACTAGAAGGAGGGGATGATTCCAGACCCCTTTTAACACCAGAGGGAGGGGATGATTCCAGACTATTTCTATTACCATAGGGAGGGGATGATTCCACCCATACCACCAGCAGAGAGAGGGGATGATTACACCCATACCACCACCAGAGGGAGGGGGTGATTACACCCATACCACCATCAGAGGGAGGGGATGAATCCACCGATTCCACCACCAGAGGGAGGGGATGATTCCACCCATCCCACCATCAGAGGGAGGGGATGATTACACACATACCACCATCAGAGGGAGGGGATGATTACAACCATACCACCACCAGAGGGAGGGGATGATTCCACCCATACCACCATCAGAGGCAGGGGATGATTACACCCATACCACCATCAGAGGGCGGGGATGATTCCACCCATTCCACCACCAGAGGGAGGGGATGATTACACGCATACCACCATCAGAGGGAGGGGATGATTCCACCGATTCCACCACCAGAGGGAGGGGATGATTCCATCCATACCACCATCAGAGGGAGGGGATGATTACAACCATACCACCACCAGAGGGAGGGGATGATTACACCCATACCACCATCAGAGGGAGGTGATGATCCCACACATGCCACCACAAGAGGGAGGGAATGATTCTAGACCCCTTCTAACACTAGAAGGAGGGGATGATTCCAGACCCCTTTTAACACCAGAGGGAGGGGATGATTCCAGACTATTTCTATCACCAGAGGGAGGGGATGATCCCACACATACCACCACTAGAGGGAGGGGATGATTCTAGATCCCTTCTAACACTAGAGGGATGGGATGATTCCAGATCCATACTAGCGGGAGGGGATGATTTTAGACCTTTTCTACCACTAGACTGAGGGGATGATTCCAGACTCCTATCATTAGATGGAGGGGGTCATCTCAGATCCCTAATCTACATAGTGCTGATTCCAGAGCCATCTTACCACTAGAAGAATGCGGACAGCAATTGTTCTATTCACCCAACACCAAGAGGATGAAGCTGTCAGTATTAGAATACAACCCAACTTGACAGACATAAGTTCAAGGTCAACTCTACCCCCTTTGCAGACAAGGGAGTGTGATTTTGTTTCCTCTCAATCTCGACAGCACCTAGAGGAGGAATTCAGCAGATTCACCATCACCTACTGTAGCTAGTAGAATGGATACTATACACCTAACTCTATAGAGAGAACAAGGAGAGTGGACGTTTCAGATAACTATTTACCCAAAACATTTAATGAAACACAATTTAAGTCTTTTACTATATTTGTATATTTTACATTGATATTTTGAGCGATACGTAGCTTGGCCAGTGGTTATAGTGGAAGGTGCAGTCATATTTCTACTTTCATTTTAGATCTTCGACCATGACCATCAGACGACGATTACACATTGTTTATATATATAAACATAAGGCCTACCAGAAAAGATCCAGATGCAGACACATGTCAGCCATATTGATAATCCCTCTGACAACACCAGAGAAGACATGTTTTCTTCTCATAAGGATCGAGTTCACTCAAGGTAGAAACTTCTTGACCAATCAAATCGCTGGAAACGAACAGTACGTACCTGCTAACCTATCACTATTTACAGGTGTTATAAAATATATATATCTTTTCCGGCATTTAGTCCAAGTAGTCTGTAGAACGAACATGTACATGTACGTGTGAGTATGAACTGTCATTACATTCTTGCTTAACGAAATATTTCATATAACAGTTATTTTACTAATCGGGACAATAGATTGATATTAGGTCGTAGTGATTCTCGTGCACCTAATGGCTAACAAATATTGCGACTTACACAAATCTTGTCTTCAAACGTCTCAAGATCGTACGACGAGCATAGAGTACAGCTTGTAGGTGGCTGTAAAGGTGCCATGTCGATACTGGTTACAATTCAAACTAGAAGTAGAGGATAGTTTTGCCGTAATATGTAGACTAACAATATTGAAACTGTAATATGTGCATACGCAACAATGCGGATGTTATGTATGTATTCAACAAATTAAAAAAAAATCAAGTGTAACATATTTGTTACATGTAGAAAACGGTTTCTTATTTTGATGAATTCATGATTTTATCTTCCTTTTTTAATTATGCTATTTTTATGGATTTTTAATTTATCAATTATTTATTTTGTTGATCTAAAATTAATTTTGATATACTTTTTTTTTAAATTTATTAAGTAAATTATCCGTTTTTTTGTAGGGGGATTAATTTATTCTAGAACCTCTTTATTAATTAAAATATTGCAGTAACTTATGATTTTAAGAAAAACGTTTTTTCGCAAATAATGTACATCCATCAATACATAATTTTCATAGAATGGTGAGATGTGGCCTCATTCACATACAATACTCGTGTTTAATTGACAGACAACAAAACAGACCATGTAAAGGGTAAATATACGACAGTTTGTTCAGGTATGGGCTCATATTTATAGTAAGTTAAAAAAAATATCAAGCAAAACAGCACCTTTATGCATATTTCTTAATAACTTATAAAGTGTTCAGGTGAACTCTGTATATTATATTTTGTTAGTTAACAGACAATGTGTCAGTAACCAAAAATACAAAAGAAAAAGATTACTCAAATTCAAGTTCATTGCTTGACTGCTTTGATGAAACATCAATGTAAGAAGTTACTTATCTTCTCTTTCCAGACAGATGACTTTTGTTTAAGAAGAACTGAACTGACCCCATCATAATGAATGTGACAACAGGAGTCAACCAGGGACTGTTGTTTAAAGAGCATCTGTACTACTCAAAGGGTCAATCATCTGTCCGTAAAAAGGTACAGGAGATGTATTCAGTTACACAGCCAGCTTTCAGCTTCTTATGTGTATTTGTTTGATTCATTAGTCCAACATGTGTGAAATTGATAGATTACTGGGACACTGAGGGAGAAGGAAAAGTAGCCCCCAAAACATTTGCTGCAGAGTGGGACGATCAATTAGTATTAGCTAGATAGTGGTACAACAAATTAGTGGTAACTAGAAAGTTAGACAACCAATTAGTGGTGACTGGATAGTGGTACAACCTATAAGTGGTAACTAGAAAGTTAGACAACCAATTAGTGGTGACTGGATAGTGGTACAACCAATTATTAGTGACTGGATAGTGGTACAACCAATTAGTGGTAACTAGAAAGTTAGACAACCAATTAGTGGTGACTGGGTAGTGGTACTACCAATTAGTGGTGACTGGATAGTGGTACAACCAATTAGTGGTGAGTGGATAGTGGGACAACCAATTAGTGGTGACTGGATAGTGGTACAACAAATAAGTGGTGACTGGATAGTGGTACAACCAATTAGTGGTGAGTGGATATTGGTACAACCAATTAGTGGTGACTGGATAGTGGTACAACCTATAAGTGGTAACTAGAAAGTTAGACAACCAATTAGTGGTGACTGGATTGTGGTACAACCAATTATTAGTGACTGGATAGTGGTACAACCAATTAGGGGTAACTGGAAAGTTAGACAACCAATTAGTGGTGACTGGGTAGTGGTACAACCAATTAGTGGTGACTGGATAGTGATACAACCAATAAGTGGTAACTAGAAAGTTAGACAACCAATTAGTGGTGACTGGATAGTGGTACAACCAATTAGTGGTGACTGGAAAGTTAGACAACCAATTAGTGGTGACTAGTGGTGATAGGGACTTTGTGAGTACCTCTTGGGAGGGCAGAGTGGTGTTTACTAGCTTAAATCAGGAGTACTGTCATATAAACGCATAGTTTTGAATCCTTTGTTCACTGTATGTCACTTTGTTCAAGTATGTGTCATATACTGTTTCACCTACAATTGCCAAATTTTATATGTTAGAACCGCCTTTGGTAGCAGAGTGTCACATACTAAAGCTGAGGCTTTTGCCACACTGTATAAAGAGTTATAGCCCTTGTTTTTCATTTTTTATGCCAAAGTTTGATCAGAGGTGGGGGACTATATAGATTGTTTGCAATACTTTGAATAATTTTGCATACTTCTGACTGTACCAGATTCTTAGCTCACCTTCCTGAAGCACAAGTGAGGTTATGCCATGATATGAGATCTAACATCAGTCTGTCAACTTTTCATTTAAAAGGCGTTTAGTCCAGAATGACAGAACAGATTTTGACTACCCAATGTAATTTGGTATATACAAGGTTGAGTCCCTTTGGCCGAGGTATGCTTTAAACAAAGGATGTGTTATAACCATAATATGTACATACATCTATATGGATCTCAGCCCAATTTGCTACAAAACATATTTGGTTTTTCTGACCAAGAAATCAAATGTTGTAATATAGGAAGTGTGTAACTCCTGTTGGAGAAACTAAAGAAACATGAGAAATACAGCACCTGTGGGCTTCTTGTTGCACCTGTGGGCCTCTTGTTGCACCTGTGGGCCTCTTGTTGCATATGTGGGCCTCTTGTTGCATATGTGGGCCTCTTGTTGCACCTGTGGGACTCTTGTTGCACATGTGGGCCTCTTGTTGCACCTGTGGGCCTCTTGTTGCACCTGTGGGCCTCTTGTTGCATCTGTGGGCCTCTTGTTGCACCTGTGGGACTCTTGTTGCACCTGTGGGACTCTTGTTGCATATGTGGGCCTCTTGTTGCACCTGTGGGACTCTTGTTGCACCTGTGGGACTCTTGTTGCACCTGTGGGCCTCTTGTTGCACCTGTTGGCCTCTTGTTGCATATGTGGGCCTCTTGTTGCACCTGTGGGCCTCTTGTTGCATATGTGGGCCTCTTGTTGCACATGTGGGCCTCTTGTTTAGCATTATAATCATATTTAGTAAGATCTATAGAAAACCAAGGCTTTTTGATGGATGGTCTTGCTTATGTACTGTATCTTGATAAATTGTAATAGTTAATGACACAGAGGATAATCCTGGGTTTTAAAACCCCTTGTAGTATATAGGGAGCCTCTTCATACCTATGATTAGGTAGTGTGTCATCCATCACTCTCAGACCTGCAGACTCAAGGTCATGGTATCGCGGTCATATAAGTGTATATCTGCCTATTGTTAAGACCATACTCTCTGAACTGCCAAACATCTGTTGCCATGAAACTGAATACATATATGAATCATGAATGAGATATATGTCCGGTTGTATTCATAGGTCCCAGTTTTAGATCCTATGGTAGTTCTAAGATCAAGGTTACATCAGGTCAAATGTCATATCACTGCACTACATATCCTGGTGCTTAACTTCTGAATGTCTAAAATAAACTTTTAAAAAACTCCAACATGAAGTTTAATGCATTGAGGACTATCTTGCTATTTTTTAGAGACAAGTTATGCTTAAAGAGAAGAAAATTGGAGAAGTCTATTCTCTGTGTAAGTATGAGTGATATATGAACTGTATATACAGAGACATATATTAAGTCCCATCATTATTACTCATATAACTTTTTGGTTGGTGGCCTGACAATACACTGATTGACTCTTATCCTCCGTAGACAAGTATACTTTGATGTTTTATTCTGCAAAAATATATCATATTTTGGTCTTGGAAATGTATGACAGCTACTCTACTTTAATTTTGTTGAAATTCAGAAATTTAAAAACAAATGTAAAAGAACTCAGGTAGATTTTAAGAAATAGGTTGACAACATTCGATGGAAGGTTAATCAGCAATACTGATTATAGTTGAAATGTTTGGGCACACTAGGTATGCTGTCTTCAGATCAGTAAAACAATTAAAAATGTAAAAGAAGAAAAATAATGAATTATATTTACCAAGAGTATTTATCATACCCCTACCTGGTGAATCGTACTTTACAGACAAGCTTGTGGACGTTCGCTTTCAACCAGAGGAATTGTGTTTTTTGGAGAAAGAGGAACTTGAGTTTAAAGTCCAAAGCCCTGTCCAGCATCTCTGTGGAACGGTAGGGAAACAATGGCAGCTGAAGCGTTTCCATACTCTGTATGTTTTGACCTATGATATTCAGAAGAAGACATCAAGTGTTCAGAGATTTTATGAAGAATCTAACAATGGGGAGGGTCACCTCAAGATAGCAACACTAAAAAGAAAACTGGAATCAATTCTAGGTATGAGACAGACATTTATTGTAATGATTGTAATTATTGTGTACCAGTGATATCTAAGGATTGGCCTTCATTTTGACTAGACAAGCCTGAAATGAAACTGTGAAGCATTCTATTGTCCAGAGAGTGAAAAGTTATATTTCAATTTCAATAAATTTTATTGTCAAAGGACAAATGGATTGGGCAGCAGGCATAGCCTATTTAAGCCCTTTCCAAACATAGTAACAGACAGTGGTACAAGCATAGACATAGAACACATACAAACACATATAAACAAGTTGGTATTATCAAATTAATAATCAAATTAGGGGAAACAACTACCAATACTCATTTTTATTATAATTGAATCTAATGGTTTAAATTCTAACCTTTTATTTTGACATTGAAAAGACATAAAATATACATATTATGAAGAGAAAAGAAAAATAGTTTGTTGATGGAGCTGCATGTATAAACATTTGATAGGATTAAATTACCGCACCCAACAGATACAGGCCAAAAAGTCCATTGTATCACACAAGGCCATCCACTGATGAGTTTTGAAAGTCAATCCCACCAAATAGTTTAATTTATGCATATTAAACACAGGTTAGATATATAATTAACATGTTGTAAAGCTTTATATTCTTATTTATGTAGTTGTTTCCCAATATTTTTTAATAAAATAGTATAACTGGTCTTCTGAACCCCAGCCCCCCTCACTAACAATTATTTAAAAATAAACAATGAAGACAAATAGGAAATATTAATATTAATATTCATGTACCATTTCTGGAAATCAGAAGAATTACATTGAGAAAAAATAAAATTTGTAAATAAATAAATAAAGTGTAAATAGATAAAATGTAAAAATTTCATTCAAAATTGAAGTTAAATGTCCTGAATCTTCTAGAACTTAAAATGTAATTGGATATTGATAGGAGAATATGTTTATTTTCATTTTCATCACATCTCTCACAACCATTTAGCATGACATCTAATGATAAATGGTTGTGAGTTTCATGGAATATATTCTGAAAAAGTAGAATACGATCTTCAGTGTATTTGATACAATCATGGAAGTAATGAGATGCTGTTTCAAATCTAGAACCACAAGAACATGCAGAGGACTCAGTAAGATAATCTTTCTGACGGTCATTATTTAGGTTACTGGCCTCATTTCTCAACTGACAGAGAATAATATTAGTTTCCCTATTTCCTAAAAACTTAAAGACATCAGTTGTTCTTGTGTTTGAATTTGGAATAGGTGTTATTAACTTTTTGAACTGATAGGCGGAACGAATATTTTGAAGGTCTGAAGCGATATTATTTATTTCATTAAACATGGATGGAAAAAAGCTATTAGAATAGTTAACAGTTCGACAAAGAGGAGGATCAAATATTCTAACTGATCTAAGGGGATATCTAGCTAGTGTGGGATCATGATAATGTGACTCAGTGATTTCTTTCAGATAATATGGAGTTTCATTATTCATAATCTTGTACATCAGCATCATTTTATGTTGTTTTCTCCTACTTTCAAGAGGAACCCAGCCTAATTCTTTGTACAAGATATTGTGGGGGGTGCCTCTACGCAGTCCTGTAATTATTCTTGCAGCCTCTAGCTGGACTGACTCTAAGAGATTTTTTAGATTTTGAGAACAATTATCCCAAACAACATCTGCATATTCTAGTATAGGTCTAATATATGATGTATACATTGTGGTTAATGACTGTCTGTCTAGTTTATGTTTCATCATCCTTAAAATATTAATTCTTTTGTATGCTTTTTGGTAAATATCATAAATGTGGTCATTCCACTTAGCATCATCACTGAATGTCAAGCCAAGATGTTTATGTGTTCGGCTGACAGTAACAGGTTCATCATAAAAATATACATTTGGGTGATGAGTATTCAGTTTTTTAGAGAATATAACAGATTCTGTTTTATTTGGATTACATTTAATATCCCATTTATTAGCCCAGAGTTGTATATTACTGAGATCATCTGTTAGGTTTTGTGCTAACTCGATTGGATCATCGTCTGTTACAGCGTATAGAGAAGTGTCATCAGCAAACAGTTTAATTTCATGAGAAACACAGTCAACAATATCATTAATATAAAGTAAAAACAAAAGTGGACCGAGAACCGAGCCCTGTGGTGCCCCTGCATTTACAGGCCTGGATGTAGATATATGTCCCTCAGTTAACACTCTTTGTTTTCTGTCATCTAAAAAATTTCTCAACCTACAAAGTTATATCCTGAAGGTTATGTCCTCCTTAATGTCGAGAGACACATCTAGAGCCTAAATTTGGAACTGTTTATAGTTATGTTACATTTAATGAGAATATTTTGCCATGGTTGCTTTGATGTACATTTTTAGGTCGCCTGAGACACCTATTGCGATTGCCTTTTGTCCAGCATCGTCCGTCGTTCAGCCGTAAACGATTTACATTTTCGACTTCTCCAAAACCCCTGAACCAATTTCAATGAAACTTTGCAGAAACCTTCCATGCCCAAAGGTCAACCAAAATTGTGAATTATATGGTCCCCAGCCCCCGAATGTATGTTGCTATAGAAACGACTGACATGAGTAAAGAGCTATAAAAACGAATGTATGTTGCTATAGAAACGACTGTTACATGGCTTCAGAGCTACAAAAAGGATTGTGTGATGTCTTTTTAGAAATGATGGTGTCATCATTATGTTGTTTTCAGAAATAGGTTCAAAATTTGGACAGTTGCAGGCCACATGTATGCCAAGTTTTTGAAAAGCCTGACTGTATGATAACTTCTGGTAAAAGTAGAATTGATAGATACCTGTATGGTGACTAGTTGACTAAACCGTGTCCACCATAAATTTCAGATGCTGAAAACAATGGAGTTGACATTCATTGATACAACTTTCAGTATTTGTATTAGGATGCTGATGACATGGAGGTTCCCAAAGTCTGAAAGGTCAAATGTTGAGGAAGAGATGTAAAACTTTGAATATAAACAAATACAGTTCCCAGGATTGAGTTTTACTCTATTGGCTGGTTTTGTTGTTTTGTTTTTGCTTCGTTCTAATATTTGATTGTTTTTGTTTTCTAGGACCACGTCTCTCTTGGTTTGTGGATACTGTTGAAGAAGACGGATTCAGACCTTCAGACAAACTCAGACTTTTGCTTACCTCACAAAACCTGTGTTTACTGGATCATAAACTACAACTTCTCCACTTCCATCAGCTAGACAGAAACAACCATGATATCACCATCAGTTTTGATGACGATACAAAAGTGCTAACAATGAACTTCAAGCAGATTTGTCCGTGGTCTAACAGTAAGAGTCACTGGGAGACACACCTACATTTAATAGGGGTTCATTACTGCAGAGTAAAACTAAATACCAGTGAAATTAACCTTTGACTAATCTTCCATACATCTAAATCATGCTGAAAGTGAAAGATATATTAAATTTTGATTTCGGACACCGACACCAAATTCCAATAATGAAATCCATACGTTTATATTGCAGATTTTCATACTCTAAAGTGTGTACAGGTGCGGACTGGACTTGGTGAAGAAATCAAGAGTAAGGTGGAGGGAATGTTGATGGGGACGCTGCGATCCACCAGGCGTGTTCTTAGTTGGATCATTGATACCTTAGATATACCCAGTGATCAGGAAGATCATGAAAGTGAGGAGGAAATTTCTCCACCAATGCCACATCTTCAAAACATGGATGTGGCACTTCCCCCGCCATGTACACTTTTTAACAGAATCGCAGTTGAAAATGATGATCGTGCACAATCTGACTGTATTCCCAAACTTGTTCTACCCCGAAGGACAAATCTGTTCCGAGCAGAGAGCATGAATGACCTGTATTTATCGCCCAGAGGGGAATATGTAAATCATGTCTATGTGAACGAAGAGTACAGAAAAGCTCACTCAAAAAGTGCACATGAGGATGGCAGTTACTACAGTATATACTATAGTAACACGGGCTGGATACAATGTCTCAGGCCTGCTAGTCCATTCAGGATTGTTCGACGCAGTCGACTGAGCAACGAGTTTGGTGATGTAGACTTTACAGCAATGAAAACACATGAAAAGTGGTTTGATCAGAGTTTCCAAAGACGAAGCTTTGACAAAGTTTACTCGAGGTTAGTTGTAGCCTCAGTTGGTTAAATGATCATTCAGAGCTGAACTTTTAAAGAATTGTATGGTCAAATGATTGCATGTCACTTTGTTTTGGCAAAGTACAGGAATTTCAATATATTTTTTCTCTTTTAATTGTTACCGATGTAGTTCAATTTATCAACAGATGGCACAAAAATATTACGGGTTTCGGCAATATCATTATGTACCATGATAGAATACTAACGTAGGCTGTTTTAACAGTTCTCTGAAAGTTTTATTTCTGATTGTTTTAACAGAATTGTGGCTTCTGAAAAACATGTTGAATTACATCACAATCATTGTCTCAGAGCTGCTTAAAATATTGCAATTTAGTGAAAGTTTAAAATATTTTGTATGTGCCCATCTTTCTGGAAAACATCTTGTTATGTATTTTCCGTCCTGTCTATCAACATTTTGTGGTATGGACATCATCTCTTTACTGATGAAAATTTTGTGTTATGGCATATTTCAGGACACTCACTTCAGGGTTAAGGTTTAGGTGAGACAGTTGGTCAAATTCTAGGGATGTAAATATGGCACAGAAAATTATTTATCTGATTCAAAATAGATGTTTTACCTAAAATAAGCTCATACATACCATCATTAGAAGAAGTGCAAAGAAATATTTCTGGTCACTTCACTTCAAGTTCAAAGTTTAGTAATAGAGGTCAAAGTTCAGGTAAAGCACTGTTTGTTTGTCCAGACAATGAGTTATTAGCTGATAAAAGTATATTAAGGCATGTATTAAGTTGGCTGCAGTGAAAGGTTGTCCAAAAACATTTCCTTGCCTTGTATTTAAGGTCATTGGGGTCAAATTGTTGGCATTGTGTAGCAAGTTTCAAAGAAGTCCCAAGTAATGATAGATACCCTGTAGATTACAGGACGATCAAGAGCTAATCCAAGTCAATATTGTTCAAATAAATAATGAAATCCAATAAGATGATGAAACGTTTTGATTTGCTGAGGTTAGCTAATCATTTCAGTATAAAATATATTTTGCCGCACTTGATAATAGGTGAGCAATACAGGCCCTTTCGGCCTCCTAGTTTGCTTCTGAAGTTATTTTAATAAACGTTATAGTGCAACAAAAATTATATGATTTTTGATATACAGTTTCGCTATGTTAGGAATGATTGTTTTAGAGACCAGTAAGTGGAGCTTAGTTTTAAGTTGTGATGTTACGTTTCCCTTGCTCGTGTTTAATATGATCTTATGTTCCTATTTTTTGAAGACTTGACGAGAATTCAACAAGTCCTAAAGAAGTTTGGAATCCTGATGATGTTTGCTCTTTAAATATACCCTTGACTGCCTCTCCTTGTGAATCTGGTGCTGACGATGATCAGTACTGGAACACAGATGTGAGTGGACACCTAATCTCTGGGTATTATATAGTTTTGTTTAAGGCTGGTTACCATATGTTCTGAAAATATAAATTCCTAAAATAGATTTCCATGTTAATCAACAGTATAAGCTTACGAATATGTCTTTATATATGTAAGTAGATAGATAACTTCTGGTATTTGTGGCTAATGTTTTTTTCGAGCATAATATATATTAATGTGTCAGTCTCAACCTCTTGTACCAATTAACCATCTATCTGTACAATTGACCATCTGTCTGTACAATTGACCATCTATCTGTACAATTGATCATCTATCTGTACAATTGACCATCTATCTGTACAATTTATCATCTATCTGTACAATTAACCATCTATCTGTACAATTGATCATCTATCTGTACAATTGACCATCTATCTGTACAATTAACCATCTATCTGTACAATTGACCATCTATCTGTACAATTAACCATCCATCTGTACAATTGATCATCTATCTGTACAATTAACCATCTGTCTGTACAATTGACCATCTATCTGTACAATTAACCATCTATCTGTACAATTGACCATCTATCTGTACAATTAACCATCTATCTGTACAATTGATCATCTATCTGTACAATTAACCATCTATCTGTACAATTTATCATCTATCTGTACAATTAACCATCTATCTGTACAATTGACCATCTATCTGTACAATTAACCATCTATCTGTACAATTAATCATCTATCTGTACAATTAACCATCTATCTGTACAATTGACCATCTATCTGTACAATTAACCATCTATCTGTACAATTGACCATCTATCTGTACAATTAACCATCTATCTGTACAATTGACCATCTATCTGTACAATTAACCATCTATCTGTACAATTGACCATCTATCTGTACAATTAACCATCTATCTGTACAATTGACCATCTATCTGTACAATTAACCATCTATCTGTACAATTGACCATCTATCTGTACAATTAACCATCTATCTGTACAATTGACCATCTATCTGTACAATTAACCATCTATCTGTACAATTGACCATCTATCTGTACAATTAACCATCTATCTGTACAATTGACCATCTATCTGTACAATTAACCATCTATTACAATTGATCATCTATCTGTACAATTGATCATCTGTCTGTACAATTGACCATCTATCTGTACAATTAACCATCTATCTGTACAATTGACCATCTATCTGTACAATTAACCATCTATCTGTACAATTTACCATCTATCTGTACAATTAACCATCTATCTGTACAATTGACCATCTATCTGTACAATTAACCATCTATCTGTACAATTTACCATCTATCTGTACAATTAACCATCTATCTGTACAATTGACCATCTATCTGTACAATTAACCATCTATCTGTACAATTGACCATCTATCTGTACAATTAACCATCTATCTGTACAATTGACCATCTATCTGTACAATTAACCATCTATCTGTACAATTGACCATCTATCTGTACAATTAACCATCTATCTGTACAATTGACCATCTATCTGTACAATTAACCATCTATCTGTACAATTGACCATCTATCTGTACAATTAACCATCTATTACAATTGATCATCTATCTGTACAATTGATCATCTGTCTGTACAATTGATCATCTGTCTGTACAATTGATCATCTGTCTGTACAATTGATCATCTATCTGTACAATTAACCATCTGTCTGTACAATTGATCATCTATCTGTACAAGAAGGCAGATGAAGAAAACAATTACCTTTTACCTAATTCAAGATCGCAGGGGTAAAATATGATAAATGCTTCCAGCAATTTCTACTCCAGAACCATAGGGTTCCTAACCATTAGATGCTGCTATTTGACTTGTAGCTAACTAAAATTGATGGTTACCAAATTTGTTAGACTTTGAACTTATTTAAAGGTCACAAACATCAATTTCAATCTTTATATATGGCTTCTCAATTATCATTAGGTGTGGGGTTATGGTATTTGGTCTATAGCTGGCTGAAATGAAGGGCAAACTATATTACAGAAGTAAAATGTTAAATTAAAAAAATCAGAAAGCCTAGGGTCAGGATGTTTTGCCTGTAGCTAGTGCATCTGTCTGTCATAACTGTTCAAATAAATGACCTTGACTTTCATTCTAGGTCACAGTGGTCAAATATCTTGAAGTCTTTAAACATCTTCTTCTCAAGGTCAAACTCTAATGCCTACTGATATACAGTTGGGAGCAAACTTAACTTAGTAGTCTAGTGCACTGGAGTTTACAAGAACAGTTAACTCCAGTTCCCTAGCTTGTGCACTGGAGTTAACTCTAAACTATAATCACCAGAGATAGTGTACAATTTCTTTTTTTACATGTATAATCTTATGTTCAGTTGAAATTTTAAGCAATCAGAAAAAATATGTGTATCAATATTATGAAGTATTAAGTTCAATGGGGTTTTTTCTCTTCTCTTTCAATTCTCATATCATGAAGGAACCCATTTCATTATAAACAATTATTGAAATATGTACCACAATCTTTTAAAATTTTGTAAACACTGTAGTGCACTGGAGATCATATCGTTGTGCACTGAAATCAACATTGTAGTGCACTGGAGTTAACATTGAAGTGAACTTGAGTGCACTTCAACATTTTGTCTAGTGCACTTCCTTGTTCACTATGTGTGCACTACAAAGTGCACTAGATAACAAGTTAAGTTTGCTCCCAACTGTAGTTATATAAAGGGGGCAGTTCAGGCCTATGAGCCTCTTGTTTATTTCTAGATCAGTGTTGTTACAGTGATGTTGTTTCCATTTCAATGTTTACACTATCAAATTTACTGATGAGAAACACTCTGAAATTGTAGGAACAATTTCTGAAATCAAGGTAATAGTTATAGCTGACACATAAATATACAGTGTTTGCATCATGTTTTTAGCTGTGCCTGTGTATTCACCGAGCTTTTGAGTGTAATCTGAGGAAGGCAGACCTGATGGAAACCTTTGATGTGACATGGGAACAACTGCTGGCCCTTTTCATTCATCTAGACGTCAACACGCTTCACGTCAAAGCCAGGGACTGGAAGGACTTGGCAGGAATACTGGGTAAGGGTAATTGAGGATTAGATACTGGGTAAGGGTAATTGAGGATTATATCCTGGGTAGGGTAATTGTGGATTAGATACTGGGTAAGAGTAATTGAGGATTATATACTGGGTAAGAGTAATTGAGGATTAGATACTGGGTAAGAGTAATTAAGGATTAGATACTGGGTAAGGGTAATTTAGGATTGGATACTGTGTAAGGGTAATTGAGGATTATATACTGGGTAAAGGTGATTGAGGATTGGATACTGGGTAAGGGTAATTGAGGGTTAGATACTGGGTAAGGGTAATTGAGGATAAAGTACTGGGTAAGGGTAATTGAGGATTAGATAATGGGGAAGGGTAATTGAGGATTAGATACTGGGTAATGGTAATTGAGGATAAGGTACTGGGTAAGGGTAATTGAGGATTAGCTACTGGGTAGGGGAATTGAGGATTAGATACTGGGGAAGGGTAATTGAGGATTATATACTGGGTAAGGCTAATTGAGGATTAGATACTGGGTAAGGGGAATTGAGGATTGGATACTGTGTAAGGGTAATTGAGGATTATATACTGGGTAAAGGTAATTGAGGATTGGATACTGGGTAAGGGTGATTGAGGATTAGATACTGGGGAAGGGGAATTGAGGATTAGATACTGGGGAAGGGTAATTGAGGATTATATACTGGGTAAGGCTAATTGAGGATTAGATACTGGGTAAGGGCAATTGAGGATTAGATACTGGATAAGAGTAATTGAGGATTATATACTGGGTAAGGGAAATTGAGGATTAGCTACTGGGTAGGGTAATTGAGGATTAGATACTGGGTAAGGGTAATTGAGGATTGGATACTGTGTAAGGGTAATTGAGGATTATATACTAGGTAAGGGTAATTGAGGATTATATACTGGGTAAAGGTAATTGAGGATTGGATACTGGGTAAGGGTAATTGAGGATTAGGTACTGGGTAAGGGTAATTGAGGATTATATACTGGGTAAGGGTAATTGAGGATTATATACTGGGTAAGGGTAATTGAGGATTATATACTGGGTAGGGTAACTGAGGATTGGATACTGGGTAAGGGTAATTGAGGATTAGATACCGAGTAAGGGTAATTGAGAATTAGATACTGGGTAAGAGTAATTGAGGATTAGATACTGGGTAAGGGGAATTGAGGATTGGATACTGTGTAAGGGTAATTGAGGATTATATACTGGGTAAGGGTAATTGAGGATTAGATACTGGGTAAGAGTAATTGAGGATTATATACTGGGTAAGGGCAATTGAGGATTAGATACTGGATAAGAGTAATTGAGGATTATATACTGGGTAAGGGTAATTGAGGATTAGATACTTGGTAAGGGTAATTGAGGATTAGATACTGGGTTAAGGTGATTGAGGATAGGGTACTGGATAAGGGTTATTGAGGATTAGATACTGGGTAAGAGTAATTGAGGATTAGATACTGGGTAAGAGTAATTGAGGGTAAGGCACTGGGTAAGGGTAATTAAGAAGTAGATACTGGGTAAGGGTAATTGAGGATTAGATACCGAGTAAGGGTAATTGAGAATTAGATACTGGGTAAGAGTAATTGAGGATTAGATACTGGGTAATGGTAATTGAGGATTATATACTGAGTAAAAGTAATTGAGGATTAGATACTTGGTTAAGGTTATTGAGGATAAGGTACTGGGTAAGAGTAATTGAGGATTATATACTGGGTAAGGGTAATTGAGGATAAGGTACTGGGTAAGAGTAATTGAGGATTAGATACTGGATAAGAGTAATTGAGGGTAAGGTACTGGGTAAGGGTAATTGAGGATTATATACTGGGTGAGAGTAATTGAGGATTATATACTGGGTGAGAGTAATTGAGGATTATATACTGGGTAAGAGTAATTGAGGAATAGATACTGGGTAATGGTAATTGAGGATTATATACTGAGTAAAAGTAATTGAGGATTAGATACTTGGTAAGGGTAATTGAGGATTAGATACTGGGGCAAAGTGATTGAGGATAGGGTACTGGGTAAGGGTTATTTAGGATTAGATACTGGGTTAAAGTAATTGAGGATTAGATACTGGATAAGAGTAATTGAGGGTAAGGTACTGGGTAAGGGTAATTGAGGATAAGGTACTGGGTAAGGGTAATTAAGAATTAGATACTGGGTAAGGGTAATTGAGGATTAGATACTGAGTAAGGGTAATTGAGGATTAGATACTGGGTAAGAGTAATTGAGGATTAGATACTGGGTAAGGGTGATTGAGGATTAGATACTGAGTAAAAGTAATTGAGGATTAGATACTTGGTTAAGGTTATTGAGGATAAGGTACTGGGTAAGAGTAATTGAGGATTATATACTGGGTAAGAGTAATTGAGGATTAAATACTGGGTAAGGGTAATTGAGGGTTAGATACTGGGTAAGAGTAATTGAGGATTAGATACTGGGTAAGGGTTATTGAGGATTAGATACTGGGTAAGAGTAATTCAGGATTAGATACTTGGTAAGGGTAATTCAGGATTAGATATTTGGTAAGGGTTATTGAGGATCAGATGGTGGGTAAGAGTAATTGAGGATTAGATACTGGGTAAGGATTACTGAAGATTAGGATTAGATACTTGGTAAGGTTAATTGAGGATAAGGTAATGATGTTTTCATCAGTACTTTTGATATTTTTGAGCTTTCTTAAATTCATGAGGTATGTTTTTTCATTGCTATGCATAAAATAACTAAATACTTGCACTTTGATATGCTTCAATATCCCCCTAACCAACAATAAACTTACTAGGGTAACACAGTTTGTCCCTTTGCAAACTGTCAATTCACCCTATTGATTTCAGGAAGAGAAAAAAAGAGTATATTTATACCAACTAAATAGAGTGCCATTGTTTCTTATGATGTCACTGTCTCTGTTCTCCATTCAGAGCTCACCTTACGAGATATAGAAATCATCCAGCATTTCTGCTACACCTACCGTGAGTGGCCAATGTTCATCCTGCTGTCCTACTGGAGGATGTTGGCAAGCCGATCCCACCCAGTACAGCCCGCGTGTTGTCACTCAGGGCTCAGACATGTACTGGAACAACTGGGCAGATCAGACCTTCTGAAAATTCTCACCACCAGAAACACCAATGAACACATTCAAGGGGCACAGGAAGACGAAAACACACATTTTTAGTGCCATTATAAAATACTTTGTACTGTTAAAGATTTACTTTTTCTGTATTTTTCAAGCTTCTGTGATAGTTGTTCATATGTCAGTGGCGGTGCTTCCCTTATAATGGTATTGGTGGCATCAACTGCGATGTCCCTTGATTGACATCAGTGTGATTTCTTATATATATTGGTCCCGAATGACCTCCCTGTTTACACGAATAGGCACCCTTCCCTGTAACAAGTTATCTTTCTTAGTAAGTGACTGAAACTCATTAACATCCTCCTGGAGAGGACGCCTGTCATTCGCAAGATAACCTCCCAGCAAGCTGGAATCCATGGCTTGGTAATCTAGAACAACAATCAGGTTAAGTTTAAGAACATAACATTAGCTAATTGCAGTAAATTCAAAGTACACTGTACCATCCCTGCAACTGCCAAACTTTGTAAATTGTAATGGAATGTGAATCTGTGTATGGTAACAGTTTGGTTTTAGATATGAATTGTAGATGAGAAGCACTTTTTTTACTAGATTCAGTATAATTTAGATGTCATATATTAACTACTGATATTGATGACTTCTTTGCATACACAAATGACTGACAGCTAACAGACTTGACTTTCATTTTGACCATCTATGCCTCACGTTTCATATGTAGCTGAAAACTTGTCAGGAATGGATAGAGTGTAGGCATGGGACAGGGGGGTGTAAGTTTTTAATTGTGCAATATTCACACTTAGTTTGCAACATTTTCTTTGTACTTAAAAGTACTAATGTATAAACAGGCGAGTATTAAGAGACCTTGACAGGTGCCAGGTGAACTATAGGATTAGTAGCCAGCATTGATAAAGTTGGTTCCTCATAAACTGTAAAATGTGTTGATTGTATTTATAAGAATTGTATCCGAGTACTGTAAAGTGCCCGAGAATGATTTGTTCTCATCTATACAGGGCACTTTATCAAATACATAATATTATATTGGATGATCTAGGTCAAAATTATATGATAATAGTCTGATCACCTCTTTCACAGATCTGAAGGAGTAGATTTTCTGAACTACTGAAACTATTATGAGGATCTTTCTGTATACCGCATCCATTCTGTTAATTGATAACCGACGCTGTATAAGAAATTAATAGATCTTTCAACCTTCTGGGTGTGAGTTTCTGTATTTCAGATTTGACATTTTATTGCAGTCCTTGGCCAGTATTTAGCTGTTCAGTCACCATACACAACATTGCTTACAATTATAGGCACTAGGACACCTTACAATTATAGGCACTAGTACACCTAACAATTATAGGCACTAGTACACCAGATTTTCCCTCATACATTGTATGTTTACTATGATGAACTATGATCTTATGTGTGTGTTGACTGTCTGTATATTTCTTATTAAGCCCAGTCTGACTTCATGTGTAATGCAGATGTGCTAGATTACTTAAACTTTGTGGAGTTACTTCCCTTCGACAACTTCCAGATACCTGGTATATTGTTTTTCGTCGAAATATGAGGTAGACTATCATAGAATCTGTATAATTTTACTGCTGGCTCTATATGTTTATATATTTATTAGCTCACCTGGCACGAAGTGCCAAGTGAGCTTATGCCGTGGCGCAGCGTCCGTAGTCCGTCCGTCGTCCGTCCGTCCGTCCTCGTCCGTCAACTTTTCCTTTAAACAACTTCTTCTGAAGAACGGACAGGCCTAGAGTCATGATATTTGGCTGAAAGCTTCGTTGGTAGGAGCCCTACAAAGTTCGAAAATGACCTTGACCTGTTTTCAAGGTCACAGGGGTCAAATATGTCAAAAACTTCAAACAACTTCTTCTAAAGAACTAAAAGGTATAGAATCTTCATATTTGGCTGATGGCTTCCT